ACCCTTCCAAATCCTGCCTACAGTCATCCCAGGCCCCCACAGCACCCGCTGTGCTCCAGACACCCTGGTGACCTCAAAGCACCCCAGAAACCTTCACACAGACCTGTGAACCAACCCTGCCCAGCATGGGGCCTGGACACAACCATGGGGACAAAGGGATCTAGAAGAAATCCCATACAGTTCCCAGCCCAGCTCTGGTAGCCACATCTGGCACCTCTGGGGCTCGGATTTGGGGTGAGCCTGGGCAAGTGTGGGGAACATTGAGGGAAGAACAGGCAAAAGGGAAAAACTAGGTGATGGTTGGAAGGAACAAGATGGATGATGGGGGGATGAAGGGTGAATTGGGTGGAGAGAAGGATGCAAAGGAGGAGAGATGGATGGAGGGATGGACGAGTGGGAGCAGGTGGGGCTGGCATCGTGCTGGGCAACTGGTGCCTGTGTTGGTCCACAGGAAGCGCTCCTGAGCCTGTGGATTTCCTACAGCGACGGCACCACAGCTCCCCTCTCCCTCTATGACCCCAAGGACTACAACCTGGTGGTGAGCAGCCTGGATGAGAAGGTGGTCTCGGTGACCCAGGACCGGGCATTCCCCTTGGTGGTGGCAGAGAGCGAGGGCACAGGGGAGCTGCTGCGGGCTGAGCTGGTCATCTGCGAGAGCTGCCAGAAGACCAAGCGCAAGAGCGTGCTCTTCACAGCTTTGGCCACCGTGCGGGTCCACTTTGGGTCCGAGGAGGACCCAACCTATGACTACGACCACGTGCCCAGCAAGCCAGGGCTGGTGGAGACGGGGGCGAGCACCACTCTGCGGGCAGAGGTGGAGAGGAAAGCGGAGCCGAGCGAGGACAGTAGGATGTCCAGTGCATCTCATCCCACCGAGGACTTCCCCACCATCCCCACCGGCTTCGTCCAGGTGACCAGGGGGCTGACGGACCTGGAGATAGGCATGTACGCCCTCCTAGGTGTCTTCTGCCTGGCCATCTTGGTCTTCCTCATCAACTGCATTGTCTTTGTGCTGAAATACCGGCACAAACGCATCCCGCCTGAAGGCCAGACCAACATGGACCATTCCCACCACTGGGTCTTCCTGGGCAATGGGCAGCCCTTGCGGGCTCACAATGACCTCTCCCCCCAGCCCGAGAGCCCCGGGAACCCCCTGGAAAATGTCCAGACCTGCTGCCACGGGGACCACCACAGCAGCGGGAGCTCGCAGACCAGCGTGCAGAGCCAAGTCCATGGCCGCGGGGACGGTTCCTCAGGGGGCTCCACGCGGGACCAGAGCGAGGACCCACTCAACTCACCCACCTCCAAACGGAAGCGGGTGAAGTTCACTACCTTTGCCACGCTGCCCTCTGACGAGCTGGCCTACAACTCCATCCCCATCGCCGATGAGGAGGACTTGGAGTGGGTCTGCCAGGACATGGGACTGCAAGACCCTGAAGAGCTTCACAACTACATCCGCAGAATCAAAGAGATCGCTTAACGCAGGGGCAGAGGGGATGGGGCGGGAGGGAGGGGGCTGCCACGCCGTGCCACACCCTACCCTGCGCCACGCCACGCCACGCCATGCCGGCTGCTTTCCCCAGGCTGGAGACCCAAATTTGGCTCTCTTGCACATTCCCTCTTCCGCACATCTCACATTCTCACCGTGTTGGAAGGCACCCCTGGGGGCCTCTTTCTTTTCTTGCCCCTTACCATCTGGTTTTCCCAGGGGAGGCATCAGCACATGCGTGGCCCCCCC